GTTTATTGGTGTGTCGCGGCATGCATGTACGGACTTGATTCCCCCGCAAGGTACGGATGCCCGAAAAAGGTGGCTGGTTTCCTTGAAATCGAATGTGTCGTTGGGGTTTGTCAGTCGACTGCCTCTCGACGTAGTGTTTGAAAAAAGCCTCCTTGCTCTCGTCGTTGTCGTTTTTCTTTTTTCCCCTCGCGGCCTGTCAATTCCATTTTCAGCAGGTAGGTCTCGAGGAATGCAAGCGTCTAGCCGTTGGTACAGTTGCACGTAACCGACAAAGAATCGAGGGAAAAGAAGACTACAGCAACAATACATGCAGGGAAGCAAACCGAATCCACAAACCGACCTTTGCGGTTCGCCGGACTTAGCACGCCTATCATAGCCATGCAACACATCGGGTTGGGATTGGTTTCAGTTTTCCAAACCAGACCCGCAATCCTTCCGGAAAACACCGCGTAAGTGTCCGTTCTACGGCAGGATGAGAACGTCAAACCAAACCCCGCCTCCACGAAACTGCATCCCGCAAAAAACATCCCGCTCCTGGTCCTCTGGAACGGGTTGACACCATGCCACAGAGTTTCCCTTCACCTCCCGTGAAAAAACTTCGCTGATACTGTACTTAGAAATAAGCACGTTTTTCTTGCGCAAAAAACGAACGTGAAATCGCCGTGCTACACGCACAAACCGCACAACCACAGCGGTAGTGCGGGACGTTCCGGCTGGCTTCACGGGACGGAACGGCGAAGAATCAATCCGTCGCAGAAAGCGTCCGCGCCAAAACACCACCACCAGAACCTCTCCATCATCTACCGCGTACCACCGAGTCCCCACGAGCACGCAGCATCAACCCCCCCCCCCCCCCCCCCGGGGCACTCTTGAGACAAAAAACAACCAAACCCCCGCCCCCCAACCGCGGGGGAAGGCACACGGACACCCACCCCCCCCCCCCACTAAAAAAAACCCCCAGAAGGGAGCGACGACAAACTCGCCTTGTCCCTTTTCCACCGCGTTGGTACTCTGACCCCCCCCGGCTCGGGGGCTACTTGCGCTTCGCGGATCTGGGGGTGAAGGAAGGAACGGCAAAAACGCAACGAACGGCAAACAAAAAGAGCATCTTAAGGGTTCGCTAGGTTTAGGGCACGTGCAAGGGTAAAATATACTTGTATATATTCAAGGGTTAGCTAGGTTTGGGGAGCGACGCTGGTGGGAGAAAACAGTCGACGAACAACAGTTAGAAGTGAACAGAAGAGGTTGAAAATGTTGGGGTCACTACGTAGCGTCAAGCGAGCAATGGCTGACACATCCAAGGCTCGAGGTTTTGACGGTCGAGGTTGTCTACATACGCGTGCCACCATGGCTAGCGGTTGTCGAATCAGCAAGGATAGACGTGTGCGAGGGTCGAGGATAAGGGGGGCAGGAACATTGTGCGTGTGGCCGGTGCAAACAGCCAAGGAAGCGGACCGTGTCACGCATAACAAGAAAACACAAGTTGGGCTTTTTTGGCGAGGTTGCGTGTAGGCTAGGTGCAAGAGTCTGGCAAGGGTGGGGGGGTGGTAAGGTGGGCAAAAAGGTGACAGCAAAAAGGTGACATCCTGAGGTACCGTTCGACAGACCTCGCCATGGGGTTTGGTTTCTCCAACTAGAACAGCGGGGGAGGGAGTGGGCGGGGGGATCTAGCGTGCAAAACTTGTCCTAAACAACCTGTTTGCCCGCCTTTCGCCGTTTCAGGCGTTTGGAACCCACATTGGCCGACCTGCGTGCTGCCACAAATTCTGTTTGAACAAACTTTGCGCTTCATTGAAACAGCAGTAGAGGCTTCTTCCAACATGGCTGTGTCCAACGAAAACAGGTACAAAATCTACAAATCGAGACACACAGGGATAGGAACTTCCTATCATACCGTTCGTCTGCCAAAGTACAGTCCACACATACCCTCGAGCCGTCCGCCGACAACAACAGCAACAAGAACATCATCGTACAAATCGATATAGAAAAAAGCAAAAAAACTTTCCGATCTCCACCTAACCTGATCTTCTTGCTGATGGATCTTTCCCCTTGCGGTGCTTTTTTTTCCTTCTTTACGCGTTATTGGGCATATTGAGCATTCGAAGCTTGTGCTTGTCGTACCTTTTCCGCGTCGGCCGACATCTTGGCCGACTGACCGTACTCGTTTCGGCGCGCCTTGTCCACGGGGTAGAGGTGCCGCTGGTAGAGGAAGATGAAGAAGATGATGTCGTCCCGGAAGCACGCCAGGCGGTGCATGATGGGCATGGGCACGATGAAGGCGAACAGGTCGTCGATGAACGTGTTGATGAACTTGTACGACATCACCCTCCAGGGCATGTGCGCCACGCTCTTCAGCTGTTGGTTTTGGTGACCGGTGGTGGCAGTGTTGACCGTGGTGGTAGTCGTGGTAGTGACGATGCGGGCGGTGGAGAGCACAATCAGCAGAAAGCGGGGGGAGGGGCTTGGTGTGAGAGAAATGAAAACAAGATGCTATGGATGTTACAAAGACGGTAAGGTTTTAACCTACCAAATAGGTCCAGAATAGCTTCGAATACATTGAGCTAGACCACGGTAGATTAAAGTGGCACGAAAACAACGCGCGTGCTACCAACAGGGCCAGCGCGCTACTCTTGCACACTTTCGAGCCCGGGTCGATCAAGCCCATGACCAAATACACATCTCGTTTCGAAAAAGACGAAGAACCTTGGGAGCGTAACGAGAGCTAGCCATACTTTTCAAACGTAGCCTTGGCCGGCGAACAAACCCGGCATATCGCTCCGTCCCGGGATGCGAGGTCAACGGTCTTAATACTACGGCATGCGTTGGCCGAGCATACACACACCCCAGGCATGCGTTGGCTTATCACACACCTCCCACCCCCACACACCCCTAACCGCAAAGGCGTGCAAAACATGAGACTACGCCCCCCACCCCGGCTCTTCTATGCACCGCTGACCTTGTAGTTGATGAAGAGCTGGGGCGTCATCATGACGAACCCGAACATGTACACGAAGCCGACGAGAGAGTTGAGCACCCAGCTGTACCACCCCCGGTGCTGCTGGTTCAGCAGCGAGTAAGCGGCGTAGCCGACCATGAGCGGGCCCACCAGGTACAGCAGGTGCGCCGTCGCGACGTCGTCGAACTCCTTCGTCTTGCTCTGATCAGTCAGGTCGTTCCGTGTCGGGCGGGAGCGTCATCGGCGGTTGGTTGAGTGGTTCGGACGCGTAAAAAATACTGTGGTGTGCGGGTGGTGTGTGGCGTGTTTTTTTTAATTTGATACCACCACTAATAGTAAGAATGACACAAAAGACTTTTGGGCAGGAATTGTCAGGAGCATCGGTGGTTTGGTTGGTTCGGATGCGTAAAAATAGTTTGGTCAGCGGATGGTACTTGAAAATGAATAAAATGATCAAAAGGAAAGCACAACGGGAATGTTACGTGTCAGTTTTGGGTAGGAAATTTTACAACAACAACACACGACACCACGACCACCACCACCATCACCACCGACAAACAAATGATTGTGCAAAACTAAACACTAAGTTCACCTTGCGGTAGCTCTCCTTAGCCTGGAACATCATCCTTGGGACCCATCGGCGAGGCTGTCCGTCCTCGCCACCCCAGTCCAGCCGCCCGACCATAAACCTACCCACCTTCCAAACCTGCGCACAGCGGTATGTAGAGCATCCACCAAGAATGTTAACGCTGGAACCCCTCCAGAGAGGGAGGCGTCACTGTTTTTAAGTGTACGCGGTATCCAACACAACCGAATGAGAGTACTAAACCAGATCACACCGCACTGCTGCTGTTGCACCAAAGCACGCCATGCGCCAATCCAGTCGCGACAAAAAACAGTTTCAAGAGTCACAGACAAGAAAGTTGTAAGAGCGACAACAACAAACGGCGACGAAGATGTGGCCACGACGACGACAGCAGCAGCACCATCACCAGCATCACCCCTAACCATGGCCAAGAAGAAGAACAACAGGTCACTTGACCAAGGCAACAGCAGCAGCAGCAGCAGCAGCCTCACCAGCATCACCACTACCACCACCATCAAGAAAAACAACAGGCTACTTGACAACGGCACGGAAGCAGCAGCAGCAGCAGTAACAGCAGGAGCAGTAGCACTAGCACCACCATCACCACTAACACCACCATCACGAAAAATAACAACAGGCTCCTTGATCACGGCGACAGCAGCAGCACTAGCACCACACCACCACCGCCACCACCACCACCACCCCCCCCCCCTAAAACCGCCATCAACAACAACAACAATAGGTCACTTGACCATGCCGACAGCAGCAGCAGTACCAGCACTAGCATCACCACGAACACCACCATCACGAAAAACAACAGAATAGCAGTAGTAGTGGTAGCAGCAGCAGCAGCAGCAGCAGGAGCACTACGATCACCACCAAGAACAGCAAACAATAGGCTACTTGCCTCGATGGCCAACCCTATCGCGTTGGTGACGAGAATCATGTAAGTCGTGTCGTTGTCCGCCAGGGAGAGGAAGATCACCGCCTGGAAGAACAGGTTGACTAGCATACCCCGCACGGAAATGCCTTCCAACGATCTAGAAAACGAAAACGACGGCACACGAAAAAAGGACAGCGTGGGGATATCATAACACAGTAGACTCACGTGCGTTTTACTGTACACACAACGCGCGGATATCACAACACAGCAGACGAAAAAAAACACACAAAGTGTACGGGTGCGTACGCACATGGACGCGTGTAGTTTTTTGGTTGTTGCCCGGAAAAGACATGCTATGGGTGGACCATGGTAGACGATACAGCGCGGCAACACACCCGTCACGCCTACCGTAGGCTGCATAAGATAGGCCGCACCCCCTGGACCGATTCTTACTACAATGCTCGATTACTCCACGACAACGAAGATGACAACAATCAAAATGTAACTGTTTGCATTTCTCGGGATGCTCTCGATGAGGCGGTTTCTAACGCCTCCAGTTTCGGCACCGTCACCGCTGTTTGTGCTGCAGAGCGGACGAGTATTGGAATCGATCCTGGTGTAGTGTGGAGTTTCTTAAGCAACCTACACAGTACGAATTCCTTGAAACAGACATGCACATTACATCACTGCCCCCCTTGGGTGACTCACTACAAAACTGTTAACCCTCTTGTGTGAAAAGAACAAAAACAGAACCTGCAGACAACGCCGCCACACAGCAGCTGCCCCAAGACCGTGGTTCCTACTCCCTCTATAAGCCATAGAGCAACACAAGCTAGTATAGTAATAACTGTTGTAGGTTTCCAACGGGCTCGAAGTGTGAGAGTCCCAAGGCGGGCCTGGAAAGCTTGGTGCTACGTTGTTCCTATGCTTCGACATGTTCCGGGGCTGCACATATCTCAAAGGTCGGCCCCAGGTCATGGTGGATTGATCGATTGTTCGAGACCAAAGGGGAAATCGCCCAATGTACACTTTCTTGACTAGGGCAATGGTGGAATGACCCGCTACTACTACAAATAATCTTGTAGTTACCTCTTCTTGTCCAGCTACTACTAGTAGTAGTATACCTCTTGATGTCCTTCCAGCTACTACTACTATGGTAGTATACCCCTTCTTGTCCTTCCAACTACTACTACTTTTTATTATAGTATACCTCTTCTTGTCCTTCCAGCTACTATATATTATATTATACCTCTTCTTGTCCTTCCAGAAGGAGATGTCGTTCTTGAACGCCAAGAAGTTGAACACCGAGTGCAGGAGCGAGACGATCATGGTGATCACCAGCACGATTGGGTTGGTCTCCGCCAGCAGCTGCGTGTCGATTTTGGCGCGAGACCGAGGAGAGACAAACGCTTAAACATGTTTTCGTTTTTTTTCTAAAACGATGAAGATGATCACCATCAAGGACCAGCCGGCTTCATTTCAGCATTGAGGACAAAGGCCAACACAGGGATCAATGCCGAGACAAAGAGACAAAGATCAAACAAAAAAACTTGTGCTTGGGGCGGTTTAGAGCGCGATTGTTATGCAACCTACACGCGACTTTGATGAGGCGACATGACGGGCTTGTGGTCTTCACTCTCTACCACACGAAACAAATATGCCTTGAGGACTCTACATTGACACGAGACCACAACATCAAGCAGAGGATACAATGTTATTCCGAAAGAGATTTGTTTAGTGAGATACCTCGCAAGACACGGCGGTAACGGGGAGGGGGCAACAACAATAACAACGACAACAACGACAACAAAAACAGAAATTGAAGAACAAGTGGCTCGAAACCAAATGACAAAGGGTGACCTGACCGACGGGTGAAAAGGCACGAAAACAACGTCAACATCAAGGAGAAACAGCAAACGCGGAAGGTCTCCCGCGTACAAAGCACTGGAACCCACCTAAAAAAAAACACAGATGAATCTGTCTTCATGCCGTAGACTGACTAATCTAAGCGCAACAAACACCAAAGGTACCAACGTGCTTACATCGGGCAGCTCTCATCCCATAAAAAACAGGAGTGCTGTATCACAATAAAAAAACGTCGTAAAATGTTCAAAGACAAGGCTCGCGGCCGACGACAGCAACGTTAACGTTGTCGTAAAATGAACGAGAACGGCAGTTACACAACGCAGCCAAAACACCCAACCGACACACACCTCCCTGAAGGTATCTTGTTCGCCGTCCCCCGCCATGCCGATCTTGGCCTGAGCCGCCCACTGGCTCTCCAGCTGCGACATTGTCTGCACCCCCCGCCCCAGAACCGAAAGACGTGTGTTTGCATACGGGACCCGCGGGCACAGCAGAGGGCGAGGAACGCCAGCAAAAAAAATCGAGTCAGTCGCTTGAAGTGATTCGACCCACTCGGTGTAGCTACCAAAAAACTTGTCGCAAACGACACGACGATGTGGTATCGGGCTTGCCTTGTTTTTGTCAGGCGGGGGTGCAACGCGAGAGAGAGACTCCCGTGTTTTTTTTTCGAGAGATCGCGGAATGCACGAATATACACAGATTCATGATTAAATCGTTGTGATCCACAAACTCGAAGATGGAGTACCATTCGCTCCTTCAACGCCAAAACCGGCCTCTGCGGTCAGCAGCAGGACAGATGAGTCGAGGTCGTTCAAGTCACAGCAAACGACGAAAAAACGAAGCAAGAACAAACAACAAACACCTCCCCCCCACGTGCCCTCAAAACCCGGCATGTCCCTCCATCCCGGCGTCGTAGGGATGCGAGGTCAATGGTCTTATGACGACGGCATGCGTTTACATGAGTACATCCCCCCCCCTGCCCTCATCCCATTTGAGTGTCGACTTCCAAGTAGTGAAACGCCTTCTTCCGTTTTTCTGGGTCGAATCGATAATGTGCCAACCCGGAGCAGCAAAACAACCAACAACAACGAAATGGACAGTCCGCGTTCTCATAGCCTTGCCTCCCGTTGCACACACAAACCTGAAACTTCCAGAGGCTGATGGGAGAGATGCTGAGCTCCAGGTCTACCGACTCCACCGTCGAGTTGAGGGCCAATAGGTGCTTCTGCTGCAGCCAGAACTCGTTCACGTAGAGCACCGGGTGGTAGTTGCCCGTAGATCTGGGGAGAACGTCAACGACACAAACGCCCACACTAAAAAAGAAACCCATTTCTCTTTTTAAGACCTTGGGTCTTGGACCCTAGAAAATCGAACCAACACACTTTGAGGGCGCGCAAGAACCAACACGCTTTCAGGGCGGGCCAAAGAAGAACGCAGACTGCGCGTTGTAGATCTATGTTCCAAATTCTTGCGTGCACCAACAAACTCTCAGTTGGTTCCGTTTACAACAACATACTTTTTCTGTGTGTTCTTCCAACGTATATATCTTTCTAAGCGTTTCTTTTTCGTCCTCTGCAGAGAGAGACACCTTGGAACGAGTTGGGCTCAATGGCCATTATTCTGCTGGCATGTCAACACGGAGATATCGTCTACCGCCGAATGGATGAATACCGAAAGGCGAGAATGTGCTGTTGGGTGACACCGACAACTGCCTCTTTAAGCTTACGACTGGAAGGTGATGTGCCCCGCGAAGGAAGACGGGATGTGGTTGCGCTGAAATATCGCCGTGAAGTCCAGCTGCCCCAACGTCAGCGTAGGCTTCCAGTAGTTGATCATCTGCACACAAAGACAGAGGTAGCGTAGGTTAGGGCCGCACCCCTTTTTCGCAGCCCGAAGCTTAGTGAGGGCTATGGCTGGGACAACGGCCAACAGCATGGGGACAGGCTGCAAAGAGAGTTGATTTTGACGGCCCCTGGGCGAGCGATTACGAGGGATTCTAAAGAGAGGATGGGCAAACTGCTGTCGTGTGGGCGTTGTTCGTTCGAGATACGCGCGTGTTTAAACGAACATTCACGCGTGCGCGCCACGTCCGCTGGTCTCCTCTAAGGTAAGTGCACACCATGCGTTCCGTTAGCGCTAATAATCTCTTCTGATTGGTCAGCTGGATAGAGTATCGTGATATCTGCGCGAGAGAGACCATACATGAAGAACTGGTGATATGAACAGCACGGGACGTGGACCAAGAAAAAAAAACAAAGAAAAAAAATTGTTGGACGTCCACAGCAACACCACACGACTTCAACCAAACACAAAATAATCACACACAGCGCCAAAAAAATTCACGAAGGCCCAACAGACACAAACACCACCTCTCGCACAACACGACATTGCGAGAACGCGCAGTTTCAATTCATCTACGGTGCAGCGAGAGATCAAACACAAAAACAACCCAAGGGTAACCGCTGTGCATCGTCGTCGCACGTGATGACGGGAAAAAACGTGTGAACATATTTGGGCAAGATTCAACCAGCTCTTGCGCAAGGTCTACCCGCCTCTCTGTCCGCCCCCGCTAAGGCCACCGCCGCCTCCTTCTCGTCCAACTCCTTCCTCTCCTTCTCCACCGCGGCGTCGGCGGCAGACTTCTTTGAGTCGACGAGGTAGTGCCCGTCTTTGTTCTTGGGCTTGGGGAGGTACCTGTTGAGCTGGGCGGTCTGGTGGGAGACTCCCGAGTCCTTGTAGTCGGGGTCCTGGGGGTGGGGGGGAAGAGGGAGTTGCCGATGCCAGCATAGTTGTGTCGTGGTGGTGGTTATTGTTGTTGTTCTCGTGATGTTTTCGTTGTTGAGGTTGCTGTGGTTGTTGTTGTTGTTGTTGTTGTTGTTGTTGTTGTTGTTGTCGTAGTCCCTGTTGTCGTTCATGTCTTCGTTGTTGTTGTCATCATGAAACACGTCTCGGTTACATACCATCAAACACCCCCCCCCCCCCCC